GGTATTACATGAGCAATTCTACATGGGACAGTTGAAAATTAGTTTGAAAGAGTTAGCCAATGTGAAAAGGAAGTTATTTGAGTCGATAAATGATTATCTCAATATGTTTAGGCTGATGAAGTCAAGATGTTTTACTCAAGTGCCTGAACACGAGTTAGTCAACTGTGGTACCAGAGCCTATATAACGATGCTAGTAGGTTGCACCATTTTTTTACAAGACTTTTACTCTTGTCAAGGAAGATATCTACTATTATTTAGGGACTTGGTTGGATGTATGAGATATATTTGAGGAACAACTTCGTTGGTAACACTTTATAGATATATAAGAGATGTTTCCATGTTTACAGTGGATATGCTACTCAGCTACATGTATTTATTTTTAGTTAGTTTAATTAATTTTATTCATTATTTTTAATTGATAGAATTTATTTTGTAACATTTATTAATTAACATATATTTTCTAACCATTGGAAAAATACGAGAGAGTCAGATTTTAACTAGTGGCGGTGAACTTCCTCGAGCTATGAGATTGACGTATAAGCAAGGAGCATTAGAGGTGGATAAGTTGAGGACTGCATTGGACGAGATGACACCTGTTGATATCATATGGCGCCCATTCGAGAATCATAGAGTAAATCATCCATTTGATGATATATGTCTATACAAGGGGTGTCTGAAGTGGTGTGACATAGTTGTCCCATACATGCGTTACAAATATATACATCTGTTCGAATTCAAGCAATATGTTTCATATCCATCTCATGATTATGTGACACATGATGTTGACATTTAGTGGATTGGGTCCCATTCTAGTGACCTTGATGTGATCCGTCCGACAGAGGTGGTGTCACTCCATATGATGTTGATGTCAGATACTTGGAATGGTATTATCGTGTTTCATTTCCTTGTTGGTACCGCCCCCATCGAGATGAGTGTATAGAGGTGTCATTTACTATTTATAGAGGTGTCTGATCCGAAGTTATCACATGTTTAGATCTTGCTTCATCATTATCTTCAGCAAGTTGGTGTTGATGAGGAAGACTCGTAGTTTGCTGATTTATTTGAAGCATTGCGCATTTGTAGTAGTAGTTGACTTATGTTTCTACATTGCATTTGAGACTTAAGTGTTCATTTAAGACTTGTGAGTTTACCTGAGACTCGTGTATGCATTTGAGACTTATGTGTTGATTTTAGACTTGTGTTTTAATTTAAAATAAGTGTATTAATGCTTAAACATACAAAATATTGTTATTAAAATACAATAACATATTACATAAAACTATACTACTTTATATAAACTTGATCTTTCTGAGTCTCTTAATTATGAATCAAAATATCGACGAACGATGGGCCAACCATCGTCACTATATCCATGAAATGATGCAATTAGTTTAAATCCATAATTCCCATATAATGCAATATTAAATATATTTTCAATATATGACCCAATATGATTAGGAAATTGATGAAAAATAATTGATTCTTTGAAGATGGTTGCTTCTTTGATTGAGAGTGCTTCTTATAAGCCTTAGATGACTAAGATATCTATGCACATGACCTATTTGAAGATTGAGATTCTTGATCAACATACTCGTGATATGGAAGATCCATATAAACATTATATCTCAATGGTTTATTCACTTTCATTCCACTCCTTATTTGTTCTTTATTTTTTCTGGTGGTAGGCACATTGAAGTCATAGTAGGGTAAGCAATTTGACAAACCATATATTTTAATGCTCATTTTCTAACAACATCTAGTGACCCGAACCTTCACCATAATGTATATATTATACCAGTCATATTCATATATGACTCATCATCTGCATCTACCTCCAAATCAAGTCTCATGCTTAATTTTCTTCAATGGACATGAACAACATCTATTGGTATCGGTAGTGTGTATCTTTCTAATTACAAGCACAAGGCAACCCATAATATGTTCTATAGACATGCCCACATATTTACATGTTGGTTCCCCATATAATCAACCATCAATAACTCTTCAACAATGCGTTTCAAAGCAACCCGGGATACTGATCCATGCAGATTACCATAAAATAGACCAGTGTGTGCACACTCAACTTCATAAAAACGTTTCTAAAAAGAAACTTTAATGTTGCCTAATTGTAACTTCAAGTTGTTATTCATAACCTTCCAACATTTGCATAAGTTACTTTTACTGTTCCCTAACATTTGCTTTAACTTCCAATGAACATACTCAACCCTATAATGAAAAAAAAAAATCAAACTAACACATCAAAAGAATACAAACTATAAATACTAATGGTACACACTTATTAGTCATGCTGCTACCTAAATGCAACACTCAATTGACTCATGCTCCAACAAATTTATGCTTACGAGGAGTTAACCATGTGTTTTTCACACAATCATTAAATTCATTACAATCAACACGTGTCTGTTCAAGTTGTTGCAACCATTAATGATACCCAATCTCATCACTAGTCCATATAACTTTCATCTATAATGCGTCTATCGCCATTTGCACGTCATTCGTAGCATATTATTTGCATTTTGAACAAAAGCAAATTAATTGTCCTTGGAAACACAACTTCAATTGCTTTCACCAAAGCAAGATATCTATCAATAAAAATCACGTATGGATAGAACTCTTCCTTAACAAATAATTGTTTCAGCTTATCTAGCAACCAACAAAAGTTCTTTGTATGCTTAGATTCCATATAGGCCAACTGCAAATGTCAACTCAGTTGACGTCATGGAAACTATTTCAAACATAGGTTGTCTATATTTGTTTGTCTTATATGTGCTATCTATAACCAACACAACGAAACAAATATTCAACAACTTGATTGAATATGGATGAGTCCAAAAAATATATCTCACAACATTCAAGACATATCTTCTTATACTCCAGTAAACATAGTCTGCATCCTCTACCAGTTTTAAAAAAATTTGTATCACTATTAATGACCTCTTATCTTTTTTTTTTGTAACTTACTCTTATATTTATATATTTGCATTATTCGAGCGACATTTTCTGGATATAACTTTTGCAAGGACAATAATACGTGTCTATGTGAAAGATGATGCTTTGTCAAATTAATAATATAATAGGTAAACTATGATTATGAAGTCCACGTTTTACACCAATCTTTCATCCAGAAGCATATTTCGACGGTGTTGATCTAATTTTGAACGGAAAACTGCTTTTTTTTAGTGGCACTTTGTGTTCCATTATTTGGCTCCTTGTATTTCCCACCTTTATCACAATCAAATATTATTTTGTTGCTTTCTCCTCTTTTGTTTGTTTCAGTATCTGAACGAGTGATAATAATAGTTATTCTATTCCTAATTCCAATCTCTCTAATCCACCTTATCACATTAACTCGTGTATTGAATCTTTGTGTAGTTGAGAATACATCAGAGATATTTACACATATTTGATTTTTATTGCATATCTTCAAAGTGATTCCCATATCTACAACATAAAAAAAGTTGATTAAAAAAAAAACCTACCGAACAATTTATCATTTAGCTATTTGATCAACAAAAGGAAATTCTCCGAATAACATCATACAAAGTTATCCAGTATAAAAGATAAACAAAATGCAAACCAGAAAACATACTGACAAATTTTTCAGAAAAACAAAATTCAAACCGGAAAACATTACTTCAAGTTATCCAAAAATGTATCAGATGACTTTCATCAGAATTATTTGTAATTAAATGTAGGATTGCAAATTCCATAAAAATTCAGAAATCCTAAATGAATGATACAAACTAAAATAGTAAATTAGTTAATATGTTTCTAAGGACAAAATGAAAATATTTTACAAAATGTAGGGGCGGGGGATCAATGATGGGGTTTGAGATAATGTTTTCTGACAGGAGAAATGGGCCCATACTGTTAATTGAAGCCCAAGCCCGTTTTGGATCCATAAATTTTAACCCTAATCCCATCCCTCATTCTCTTTTCACTCTCGAATTTGCAAGAATCGGTTTTCCAGCTCCGGCTTCAGTTTCGCAAAGGCTCAACTGTGTTCTCAAGCTGTAATCTTTCTGGTATGGCGTACATCTAGTCATTACTCAGTTTTTGAATTTGTATTCATTTGTCGCTTGCATTGAATTTCGAATTTTGTCCCATATCCAATTAGGGTTTTGAGGTAAATTTGATCTCATTCATCGGTGAGCTCTGAATTTGAAATTATGTATAGTTTGTAATTTAAGTTTTCTCTGGCACACTTTGTATGTTACCGGTAGCATTTTCCGAAGACTCTGATTGACTTTTCGTTCTTTCTTTATACATTAGAAGGTAATCTCCAAAAGTGATTAGGGTTTCATTTCACCCGGGTGAAATATGCATAGAGGTTGAAGAAGCTGGTAAAAGGGTATTGTAGTAAGGGATTTGTGTATTATATACACTGGTAGTTCAGATAGTGAGGGTATAGAAATGTAGTACCAGTACACGTCCAAGAGAATCAGTAGATAAAACAAGTGTATATGAACACACTAAGGGGTAACGTTAAGGTTAAGGTAACTTGTTGAGTATATGTCGATCATAATTTGATCTCATGACACCCATGCTTTCTTTATGATAGATGACAAGCGCTTGGACAAAAATGAGCTTTGCAATCAAACATAGGAATATAGAGTGGGAGTGGGTTATTTTTTTAAATAATTGGAGATTCTTCCTCACTCTCAGAAGGTGTGTATGCCTGCTAGTATTCTGGAAAGGATGAGGAGATCAAATTTATTTTCAATATTGTTATAGCTTTGGAGCATCTTGGAGCAAATGAGCAATGGAGCTTGTGGAGCATGGCTCACCTCAAGGATTGCTCTATTGGTTTGCTTCATAGTTTTGGTTTTATTTACTTTTGTTTGTGTAATCATTAGAGTAATGATGATAGTTAGATGTTTCAGGTTTAGGATGGGCTTCAGAAAGTAATAGATTTACATTTTGATGATGAACTTCCATTTTTTGTTTGTAGACGAATTGTATAATATCTCCAATCAGATATGAGTAGTCGCTTTTCTCGCACAATCTATGTTGGCAACCTGCCCTCTGATGTAAGGGAATCAGAAATTGATGATCTATTTTACAAGGTTTGACCGGTGTACTTTTCTTATGCTTCATGTTAAGGTGCTTCGTTCATGATGTTTTGCTATTAGTCAGTTTGCTTGGGGTTTAAACTTTTTATTTTCACGTTTTGTGTTGAACTTACCTTTACACCCTTGTAAATTTTGGACTCTGAATTTCTTTTGCTTAAACCTTCAATATTTTTCTTCTCTATTTTGCTTAGTTTTAATCAACTGGAAATAAATTCTTATGACCTACGAGCAAAGATAAAAGATTAAGAATTATCTTAAAATCTGGGATTGCCTTTATTAAACCCCTTTGAATGAGCTAGTTTGCTTAACTTTATTAACTTAAGGATTTTGTTTTGGCCCTTATTTATTGCCATTGCTTAATGTTATCTTATATGTTGTTGAGGGTCAATGAGTGGAGTTGGTTGTTGTGTACTAATGTAGTCATGTTACAATGATTTTCAATTATTTCCTCAACAGTATGGCCGCATAATGGAAATTGAATTGAAAGTTCCTCCCCGCCCTCCGTGTTATTGTTTTGTTGAGGTATTCATCATCACCCTCTTCTATATTTCTTTGTGATCAATACTTTTTACCCCTTTTCTACCAGTAATTTACTTGTATTTTGGCTTGGTAGTTTGACAATCCTCGAGATGCAGAAGATGCAATTCGGGGTAGGGATGGTTACAACTTTGATGGTTGTCGATTAAGGGTAAGGAGCTGTTCCAACTTTGTCCTGTGAGGTGAATACTTCTGTCAGTGTCTCTCATCTGTTATTGTTGTAGGTGGAGCTTGCCCATGGAGGTAGAGGTCCATCATCAAGTGATCGACGGGGGTATGGTGGCAGTGGTGGCGGAGGTGGTGGAGGAGGAGGTGGTGGCGGTGGTGCTGGTGGGGGCCGATTTGGTGTCTCACGCCATTCTGAATTTCGAGGTGTCTACTTAGAGATTCCTTTTTTATTGTTGTTTTCATTTAGAGTGTTTTCCCATTTAGCTCTGACTTATAGCATGTGATCACTCTTTTAGTAAGAATTTAAGTTCTGGCAAAAAGAGAATTTAAATTTTCTGGATTTAAGCATTCTAAGATTTTCATGCTCAGACGTTAGAACTGTGGACCCATTGTCCATGACTCTCGTCTGCATGTATATGATTTTTTAGTTTTCAGATTTTTTTTGTATGTATCTGTTTTCTTTACGTGCTTAAAAAGTTACCCGTGGTTTTTGTTTTATGCAATATTCTAATCAGCCAGTTGTTGAAAATATTGTGTTTATGATTTTGTATACCCCACGAATCTTAGTCTTTATGGTTAACTACAGTTATTGTTCGTGGACTCCCATCTTCTGCATCCTGGCAAGATTTGAAGGTATCAAAATGCTACGCTGAAAAATTACGAATACTCAAATCATCATCACCTATAATTTTAATATTCGTTTTCAGGATCATATGCGAAAAGCTGGTGATGTTTGTTTTGCTGAAGTTTCCCGTGATAGTGAAGGTACACATTCATTTTGGTTTGTGTTTAGGCATGTCATTATCACGTTTTAACAATTTTCCATATTTATGCTGTTGTATAGTCCATGTTTTGTATTTTCTGCTCCATTTGAATGGTATAAAAGAAACCAAGGCCTACTAAAAGATAATAACTTGGGTTGAAGCTCCCGTCTGTTTTGTATTAAACTAATTATTTTTATGGGTTGAAGCTCTCCTCAGAGGAAACCACAACTTATCTGCACAGACATAATCATCCCCATGTCCTGTTTGTTTGCCATTAATGACCATGGTGGTAGTCAATGGCATATCTTGTGCTTCTGATTTGTATTCAGCTGATCCTGAATGTATTTAAGACTAAGAGAAAGAACAGACTCATGTTTAAGATACCGAACCTAATTCCTGAGAATATAGTCAAGTATTCCAATTGTTTCAGTGCAAGCGCTGATTTTAGTTTAGAGACCAAGTGCGGAATGAGAGGTAAAGCATCACTAGTTATACTATGTCTGCGCCTACGGTTTCCAGAATTAGCCTTTGTGATATCAAATGGCTACTTCTAACTTCACATTTTTGGGAATACATTATTTTTCCAGTATATTTTTGTGCTTGCATTATAGTATTCGTTCCTATCACTCATACCGCTGTTTTCTGTTCAGGGACTTTTGGCCTTGTTGATTACACTAATTATGATGATATGAAATATGCTGTAAGTGTTGCATTTTGATTAATTATGTTAGATTAGTACTTGATTCCCTTTCGATCTGTTTTCTAACATACTTCCTTTTTCACAGATTCGGAAACTGGATGACACCGAGTTTAAAAATCCTTGGGCAAGATCATATATTCGGGTAACCAGATCTGCACTAATAATGATAAAACTTGTTGTCTTGGTTTAAATCTGCGGTATTATTTTAAAATTTGATCATTGCAACAGATCTTTTGAACTCTTACATGGTGAAAGATCTTGCACCCTTGTTTATTTCGTCTTTGTTTCTTTCTCTATAAGATGAAGTTGCATGTGGCATGCTGGAGTACATGACTCTTTCATGGTTTGTATGAGAAGTGTTATCTGGAGAATTATACATGAATAAAACTATTATCTTGCAGGTGAGGAAGTATGAGAGCAGTCGTTCAAGGAGCCGCAGCAGAAGCCCGAGCAGGAGCAGAAGTCCAAAAAGGGCTAGAAGGTGCTGTGACTCTCTGATGTTGACTTGTGGTACATTCTCATTCCTTTTAGACATTACATACTTACTAAGGAAATCATGTTATTTCATTCTGCAGTAGATCTTTGGAGCGATCTGTGTCCAGGTCACGATCTATTTCTAGATCCAGATCAGCATCACCAATCAAGGCTTCAAGGTACAAAAAGAATACTGTTCTTAGATATGATTTTATTTTTTATGTTATTGCAAATCCCCAATTCTTTATGTACCTAAATTGTTTATCCAATTACAGGCCAAGATCACGATCGCGTTCACCCTCTCGTTCAGTATCTCCAAGATCACCGCCCAAGGTATTTGTAATTTATAAAATCATTCAGATTTTTTTACCAGAATGGTAAAATTGGACTCTAGAGCTTGTTTATTTCTTTAAATTAGACTCTAGAGCCAATATTATAGAGTTGGAACAATTGAAAATTTTGACATCTGGTTGATAAATTTATTTCCTTGTTTTTTTGGCTTTTGCATATTTATTATGGAAATGTCATGTCTCTTAAGAAGCGTGCTTTTTTTTTGTCCAGGTTCTTTCAGGTGGTAGTTGATTTTTTCATGAATGGCGGTGATCTCCGAAGTACCAGCACACTTGTGGGAAATATTGGTGTAATGTTTGGGTTGATTTGAATTGTTTAATGGATGATTATTATACTAGAGTTATTTTCATGGTTATCAGTTTGGTTATCCTGTAGGGTTTAAACTAGACTTGACTTGCTACTACCATTTAGTCTTGTTTCTATTGAACATGAATGTCGGATATTAGACTGTTTACATTAATACTTAGCATTTTACTAGTGGTAAGTGTTGGAGCAGGATTCTGTGACCTTAGAGCGGGAACTGCTCTCTGCCATTCCCTCTATCTGACACTAAAATTGCATTCTCACGTGTTCTTTCCCTCCTTATTTTCATCATTTTTTCACTTCTCTCATGAAAATTGCCTAACGTTAGGGTATTTCGTGAGTGTTAGGGTATTCCGTGAGTGTTATACCGACCACAAGGGTACTATCCTTTGTTAGATGGGTCCGTTAAAATCTAAGTAAGCATGTTTGGACTAGTGACGGCGTTGAAAATATTACCATAAGTAATTGTTATTTTTGGATATCATCGGATTAAACATTAGAAGATTAAACATTAGAAATCGCAAGCTACCACGTACCCTTTAATTAATTAGGTTTGTACTCGCCCCATCTAATTGAAACCTTCTCTACTTCGTTTTATAGTAGAAAATGTATAAATACTTGATATAAGATAATGTTGCATTTTTATTTGTCATTTATATTTTCTTAATTCATGTGAAATAATTAAATAAATTGGGGCCTATTCTTATTAGTCTGTCATTTTTGGCGGTAGTTCCCGTTAAGATTTCTAATCCGTCCCTTATTTTCCGTCATCCTGTGTTGTGTTTTGGGGGCATGACCTTTTTTCTCGCCTTTCAGTGTTAGGGGTGGATGGTCCTCCCCTACTTGTTTATTTTGCCGGCATTCAACGGTTTGTTCCACCCTATTTTTACATTTTTAGGGGGGATTTCTACCGTAACCTATGGAGTGTACGGTGTTAGAAAAATGTTCTATAGATTTTGGAAATACACCTTTTATTTTACCTAAATATTTGAGGACAATGTATCCAGAAAATGTTAGGGAGATTTTAGAAATACAATTTTATTTTACCTAAAAATATCTTTTGTGAAATGTCTTGGTGTTTAATGTGTCTGGATTTACTTGTTTATTTGTCATCTATGGAAGAAATAAAAAAAATGTATCCACGTGGCTTATGTTGGTAGCATCATCTTTTGTGTCTTAATATTTATGTAATAATTTCTTGCAACATCATCTTTTATGTGTAGTATTTATGAACCTTAAAAAAATTAGTTAAACAATTACATGTTTCAAAAAATTATGAAAATGTATTTTTGGAATTTGAAAATATATTTTTAACTTTTTTATTTATAAAATGAATGTGTAATTTGAAAATATATTTTTAACTTTTTTATTTATAAAATGAATGTGTAATTTGAAAATATATTTTTAACTTTTTTATTTATAAAATGAATGTGTAATTTGAAAATATATTTTTAACTTTTTTATTTATAAAATGAATGTGTGATTTAGTTACGTAAGTATTTGATGTATTTCATGTATTATTATAAGATGCGTTTTAGATTTTCACAAAATAAATTAGTTAAAAGATTCTTTTTTAATGGCCTTTAACGGGACACTCACCTTATGTGAACATAGGAAGTAAATGAATTATTTTTTTCCTAATAATAAATAAGATGCCGAAGAGAATTTACTCTATAAACATAGATAAGATACTGCAGGTTGAAATTCACACATGTAATTGTAATCAATTGTGCAAATAAATATAAATTGGTTAAAGACATGGCGGAGAATGCAATATAAATAGGGGAAGAAGGGGTTGATTTGACAGACTATAAAAACAAATAATTGACTTGAATTTCAATGTTGCCACTTCCGAAAGCAAAAAGGTCTATTTTTTTAATGACGCAAAAGGTTTATATTTATTTTTTAATGGCCCAAAAGGTCTACATTGTGTAAAAGAAAATGGCAATGGCAAAATTCTGTGACACTCTTGGTTGAACGTTGAAAATGCGTCTAGAGTTCAAGGTCAAATTGAAACAAATTTAATAAGTGTCTGATTGGATTGGCTTCTACAAGGCTTAAATGTTGAAAATGCGTCTAGAGTTCAAGGTCAAATTGAAACAAATTTAATAAGTGTCTGATTGGATTGGCTTCTACAAGGCTTAAATGTTTAATATCAACCCGCGCGAAAATAAGATACAAGTGTGAAAAGATAAAATTATTTGATAAATTAAAAAAAAAGAATATATATATATATATATATATATATATATATATATATATATATATATATATATATATATATATATATATATATATATATATATATATATATATATATATATATATATATATATATATATATATATATATATATAAGTGAGGTGGGAAGCTTTGTATTCTTAAGATATTTTGTGTATGTTTTGAGTTGTTATTAGTCGTCCTTCCATATGTTAGAGATGAGGTATTTATAAGACCTTTATAGGTCTATATTAAGAGAACTCCTGAGAAGCGATAACCTTACCACCTTGACTAAGGAAGCAGTTGACTGCCTACTTCTTAGGGAGTCATGGGCACGATGTATTACGTGCAGTTATGGGCTGAGTAAACACATATTCCACATTTTCCTTTAGGAAAGCTCCCTCACTACGTGAGGGTGAAACATCATTGTGCGGGTACCAGGTGAGGCAAAACACGCATCATCCCAGATGTGGGTCCCTAACAAATTTATCAATACACAATCCCTTAAATACCAAGGCTTTGTTAAGGCCGAAATGATTTAAACATGTCTCCTCTTAAGGTAGAGTTTTGTAGTTAGAGGCAAGTCCCTCAATTAGATGCAAGTCTCTCAATTAAAGGAAACTCCCTCAATTAGAGGTGAGTCATCACCTTCTTACTATATGTCTCCTGAATAACTTGTGTGTGTGCCAGCTTGAGGGATACCAATCATCAATCAAATCAAAATTTCAAGCAGTTACTAAAACTTGACCGCTCAGTGGGAAAGAAACATATGTGAGATTTAATGTTTCTCATGATGATCGTCTTGGGGAAACTCAACCTAGTTCTACTTTCTTATGCATGTTCCTAACGCGTGGGAGACTTTTGCTTCATGTAGAAGTGGTGCTATTGGACATGCATATCGCTTGAGTTATTAGTTTTTCCTTATAAAAGGTCCTGGCTTATTTTTTAGGAAAGTAGTTTCCTCTTCCTTTCCTTGTTTTAGAATTTCACATCGTTTAACTATGGAAGATTCACATACAAAAAAAGAAGCATCTTTGAGTTCAGATAAAAGAAGAGATTAAAGAGTTCATCATTTTCTTAAGAATCCCAGTACTGCAATTTTATTTCCTTATAAGAAGTTGATGGTTAGGAAGAAAGTCAAATATGTTTATGTGAGAGACATCGTGTCCATATGTTCAACTTCTGAAACAATCATACGGTTTCGTCAACACATGGCACAAACAATATGTAGTCCTGGAGCCCTATTTAGAGAAGGATAGAGCCAACATTACCACCATGGGTGATTCATTTGATCTTTATTTTTACCTATATCTTCTAGTTATTTACGAGTTAGGGGTTCTGATTCCCTGTGCACCTTTTGAGGGGAATTTTCTATAGACTGTTAATGTCACCCTTTCCCAGATCACGCCCAATGTGTGGAACATTCTTAGGGATTTTGATATTGCCTACTATAATTTGGGCGTCTCCGCGTCTGTTTGGGTATCCATTTCTTTCTTTGGCGTATATGTTCTCCAGAACTGTGATTGGATAACTTTGTGCTCCTTATCAGGTAGGTGTTTGCTGGAACCCTACGTGGATCCATATGAGGATTGGAAAGATAAATTTGTGTGAGTTTGAGGGCAAGGTGATGCTTCTATGGTGACCACATGGGCGACAGGAGCCCCCTTCTTTCCTATATCGCAGACAAAGAACCATTGACTCCCCAAAGGGAGAATTTCAACGCCTTTTCCCCCTTTGAATGTAAGGTGATCCAAACTTTATGCTGCTTCCAACTCATGAGCTCTTGTACTACAATTACTATGGAATGAGAATATGGTGACACGGTAGAGAAGTACTTGGGTAAGCTTTATGGTATGGAAGTAACGCCCCGACTTAATCCCTGATCTACTGCTTCACATGTTATAACATTGTTTTTTCATAGGGCACATGTCTAAGATCTTGGTCGGCGTGAGGAGAGATCAATTGGCTTAGATCCAAGCCAAGCAATAACTATTGGTTATGCCTCTGCCCATCCTGAGGGACATACCGATGGTTGGAGGAAAACATAAGTGTGAGACGTATCATGATGGCGAAGCTCACCCTCTTAAGACTCAAAGGTGGGATGCGAGTCTTTTAGGGCCTTCTAAAAGCCAAGATATAACTTAGGAAAGAGGAAAGAGAGGTGGAGAACCTATACCCCCGACTGGAGCTCCCAAGCCTTCACTGTGGAGTATAATTTCTTTTAATATAGTGGAGTTATTTGGGAGTTTTCTTTCCCTTTCATAGAATTTTCTTGGAAACTACTAGTCTTTTCATGATAAGTATCACACATATTTAATGAACCTTCTAGAGGTCCAGGCGAGGAGGTGCCTCCTGATGGAAAGAGTACAGCAGGAAAAACATAACAGGAAGATTCGAGAGTTGCAATTACTAATGGATTTTATCATAGGAGACATTCAATAGCGTAAGAGGATACTGACAATAAAGGAAAAAGAGAAGGATGGTTTGAGAGTCCACGTGCGAGATATGGCTTCAAAGGCTTTCGAACGTGTAGAAGATAGGAAACGTTTGGAGGGATTGCTCGAGGAAACTTTTAGATCCCTAAAATGCTTGGAAGAGGAAGAATCGTCGCTCAAGGACGAAGTTGTGGCTACCTCTAATCAGTATTTTGAGAGTGGGAAGTAACATGTGGCCTTTTTCTATCCAAACCTAAAAATGGAAACTTAGCA